ACGAAAATTAACCTTCGCAAGGTACTTCGGCAATTTTTTGGCATGCCTACGAAGTTGCCGCTCACGAAGTTGCTGCCGGAGCCTGAGAAACTCCACCGGCGGTCATACGATGGCTTAAGATGCCCTCACGAATGGCCCGATGTTGCTACGATCAGAGCCGAATTTGAAAATGTCCTTTATCGTGTGTCCATCGAGTGTCAATTCCGGGACAGTGTGACAGGGGCTTAACAGGGCTGCAGAAGAGGGGTATGAGCAGTATGAGGCATGGCTACAATGGGTGAACTGTTTGGTATTAAGCAAAAAACTTCACAGACATGTTTTGTATAGGAATGGCCCTACAATATATTTTTCCAATATAGCATAATAGGTCCACTTTAAGTAAGATTTAACACAATAACTTTGAATATAAGTCATATAATTTTTGAATTCATAAAATATGTAAATGAATGAATATTTATTTTGTTAAATCACAAAAGCAGTTCATAGAGATGTGTCTACAGAAAGCCATGTTAAAGATCCCAGAAACATGAACATCTTGCCTTCACTCAAAATATGGCTTTTAATGTTGTGAAAATGATCTACTGTCATGGTTTCTATAGTATCAGATTTGTACTAAACACAAGTCGTTTATTTTAAAAAGGTTTCTGTAATTTGAATAACTGTTTAGTTTGTGCATCCATCCATCATATTCAGGGGGGAGTATTGGAGGATAAATAGCAGTCTCACAGCAGCCAGACAAACACATTCACAGTTACATTCCCACCTACCATGAATTCACCTAACCTGCATGCTTTCTGACGGGGGGAGGAAAGTGGAGCATCTGGAGGAAAGCCCACGCAGTTTGTGTGTTGTCAACATTTAAACACAAACACTAACTGACAATGCTGGGGACAAATTAGCAGTACCCAAAGCATTGAAACACAGAGACTGCACCAGGAGATGCTCTATTAAATATTTGATTCTTCCTCTAGCAGGTTGTCAAAGATTATACAAATAGCAAAGTATGTTCTGTTCAAGCGCACGACAATTTTCATCTGTTACTGTTATTTAGAAAATAGCGGTCACGATCGGCTATGAAAGTGTGTTCAGCTGTTAAATGTCTTGAAAATGACGTTCGCAGCCTGTTAATAATCACACACTAGAAATGTTTACTGCATGATACAAAATCCTTTTATATTTCAATACAGTCAGATCTAACAATGCTCAACTCCGGTGACAGAATGTAAATATTTTATCTCAAAAAGCCGGTTTCCTTAAGAGCAAAATACATCCTCCAGTGCTGCTGCTCAAAACACATTATTAATTTATAGATTTCAAACCCCACCAATGCTTCCTCTATCTGATGATATACCTTTCAAAGCTGTGCACATCTCGGTGCTTTTTAAAAAGTCGCTGTCTGGATATTACTTTGTATGCTAGATCACCCTCCTTCTAGCCAAGACAGGAAATGCATGCATCGAGGAAAAAAGACATGGTTATACGTTTTCTGACATGCTACTAATCTCTGCTTTCTGCTGTTATTTTTCAGGCTGCGTTGGTGTTTACCTTCACTGAAAGAAGTCATTTCTGCCTCTGCAGCAGCTGCTAAGATGAATAACTCCATAACAAGATTCTTATTTTTCTTCAACACATGTTCACTCCATTTCAAGTGTTTCAGCAGATCTCATATATCACAAGGAAAATCAGGCTGGACACATTTATTTGTAACATCTTTTCAGGTTCTTTCCATGCATCACAGGGTGTTCTATCACTTATCTCCGTGTGTGTTGCCACTGGACATGTTGCTGCAATGTCATGGTCCATTTTCACCTCTGTCCTAATGATGCCTTCCTCTATGTCTACACGTGTAGTGATGCTGAGGACTGGTTCTGTGAGTGCCCCCCGCTCTACACAGGCCGACTGTGCCAGTTCAACGCTTGCGAGCGCAACCCCTGCGGTCACGGAGCAACATGCATCCCAAAGTCTCCGTTGGAGGCCGTGTGTCTCTGCCCGTACGGAAGACAAGGTCTACTGTGTGATGAACGTGAGTGCTACAGAGAAGGGCTCACAGATCAATGCGCCGCAGATTTAGCAGCTTTATAAAGAGGCTGATCTGCAAACAGTTGGTGAATTAGAGCCCTGAGCAGTTGGTAAAATAGGAGCTTCTTGTTAAGTAAAGGGATTAATGAAACTAAATTGTGCTGAAAAGGCAGAAACCTCTTCCTCCAGCAATAGTCAGATAATCAAGGGAAAACTCTATGCCTCTTTGCTGAATACCCCGAATTACTCTTTTTCTGAGTTCATAAGATCTTCATTTCTTGCTACTGTAGATTTAGCCGCGTGACTCAAAGCAACTTTTCTTCACAACTTTTTTTTTCTTCACAAAATGTCAAGTTTCTGCCTGAACAGCAGGGTGTTCATGTGTTCTCACATTGCCAGCAAAGTTATTAATAATCTCGCTTACTGTTACTTGCGCCCATCTGTGGTCACTTTTTCGCCATTTTATCAAAGACTAACTTATAACACAAATGGATGGAAACATAAACTTCTTATTTCTATCCCACAACTTCAGAGCAAGTAATTGATGAAGGGTCATTTGCTGACTGACACTAATGTATTTTGAATCCTTTGATAAGTTTGTAATATTCCTGAAATTATTCAACAATAGGAAGACACATTTCTGTGGCGGACTCTATACTGTTTTAAATACTATGTTTTTGAGTAGTGAAACTCAAATAATGATGTTGTATAAAGTCTCTTAATAAGACAAGACATCAAAAATACACAGCTACATTTTGCATTTATTCAAGGACTCCTGAATAACTGATTAGCAGAAAACAAATTATGCCATACTGGACAACTGTTGTAGAATTTGACTGTAAAAACGTGCTGTATTTTTCGCCATGCTAGCAACATGGCTCTGGGGACAGCTGATGGATGGTCAGACACTTTGGTCCAGACTGAAATAAATATTGGAAAGATTGCCATCAAGTTCATTTTAAATGTCCACAGAGCAAGAGTCCCTCCGACTTTGGTGATCCCATGACTTTTCTTTTAGCACCGCCAGCGTTAACACGTCAAAATCTTTGTCCAATACTTTGTTTAATGCCAACATAATGTAGATGCAAAACAAAAATTCACATTTATGATAAATGCTAATTGGCAAATAAATAAAAAAACATACCTGCTTTAAAATCAACACTTAAAGCAATGTAATTTTGACTATGCTAGCATGTTAACATTAGCATTTACCTAGCTGTAGACTCCTGTTTAATCCAAATTGGTGATAACCAAAGAAGGTATAGAATATTGTTAATTATATTTTATTGTTATTGGTAGTATAGTATATTTAATGATCTTTTTAAGGTCTCTATTCTAACAGTAATGCCATGAGAGAGGCTTCACAGTCAGTGGCTCAAAGAAACAAAAGGGTTTTGCTTGACTAACCTGACTCTGGGAGCAGCAGGGTGCTTGGCATATAAGTCGCTCAGCCATGCCACAGCCTCTGACAGACCTTCAACACCTACATCCCGAACGGACAATCTAACCTTCCAGTGTCAAACTAAGTATATGGCTGACATTTGAATTTTAATCCTGATTACATCAGATGAGATAAGAGCCGAAGTTCGCCTGTTTTTTTTCCCCTTTATTTGAGACAAAGCTAAAGTTGTATGTCCAGCAGGGAAACTTTAAAGAGCTAAATGTTTGCTTAAAATATAATATTTTACCACCTGCAGGTTAATGGATAGGTTTTGTCTATGAGCCAGCCTGTAGAGATGACTATAAGTGCTATTGATGCTGAAAGGCCTCAAGAGTCGTGCTCATTAAACATGAATGAATATTCAAAATGACTTCACTCAGAATCACTAATGGTGAACCTGGGTATACAAGTTGCCCATACCTCATGTTAAAGATTGATGTTTAGTTTGTTTATGTTTAGAATTAAAGGACAAAAATAATTTCCACATGTGACATACACCTAGTACTATGGCTCGTTTCTCGAATCCAAGAATAGTTTATCCTATTTGTCTAACATATGAGATGTTGGCCATTTATATTGAGTTACAATGGTATTTTTAATAAAAAGATGTTCCAAGTCAGGGAGGGATGATGCGAAGAAAAGATTTTGGCAGAAAAACAATGCGAACACTGCTTTCAACAGTCAAAAACAGTGTAGACATTTCATCATATTTTCATAGATATATTTCAAACAATCCATTTTCAGCATCATTCCGCATTATTCAGAATCAGCACTTCAGCTGAGTATTGATTTAGCAAAGTTTCTGTTAACCTTGCATTGTTCCCAGGTTGAAAATAATTTAGTAGTGTGAGTGTAGTCTCACTCAGGAGAGTTGTTGTTTCCCAACTGCACTGTGACAGCTAAGATGCACCCCATACAGACCATATAGTGTACATGCATTTTTGTCAAAATGAGTTTCACAGTCTGATTGGCGCCGCATGTCATTCTGTTTTTCTTCTGCCGCTCCTTTTGGTTTGCAGCACATTACTCAAATACCCAGCAGTGTAAATGTAAGGTGATACTATTTGACGGAGTGTGAAGTTATAATCCATAGATGGATGCATTTCACAGCTACAGTCCATGAGCTTCTTTGTTAGTAATATGTTCAGCAAGCACGTGACTTTCACCAGCACTGAACCTCATTCTGAAGTATAATGCAATGATGGGTTTTTCTAATAGAACCTCAATTATATCAGTACACATTATTCATTATACTGGTGGCTTCAGTTCAATTAGTCACATGTGGGACGAAAACCTAAAAATGTACTCAGTTATTTATTTCTGAATTCCTATTTACCTTTTCATCACAAGAGGGATATAGACCATTGTGATTTTCTATGAAAGCTGTTCGGTTCACCGAAAAGTCACTGATGCTAAATTCAACCTTTTCACAGGATTAAAGAGACTGTATTATATTCCACCTGCCTGTAGGATAGCTCTCACATGTTGAACTTTATTTTATCAGTTGCAAAAGATAAATCCATGTAAAATAAATTCAATTACATTTAGATTTTTTCTGAAACTTCTGATGCTCCGTTTTTATGGAGACAGTCCGGGTGATGTGGATTAAACTCTCTGTCTCTCTCTTGTAAGCTTGACCCTTTCTACTTAAAGACATTTTTTTTTTAAAACTGTGGCACCTGAAGTTTGGATTTAGAAGATAACAATTTCTACTAATATTTTTAACAATATTTATAATTCATTAATAAGTAATTCTAGCATATCTGTTTTGCTAGATTTAATTAGATAGTACAGTTTGTGATATTATACCAACCACTTAAGCTTGTAGAAATATAATATGACAAAGATGCTAGAAGGCACTTAAAGTTCATTAATAAATCAGGTAATCAGAAATGCGAAAACCCAAACTCTTATTTGATAGAAAACCATTACTGAATAACAGAATATCAAATCAAAATGACTTCGTATTTATTACAGGTCTTTTAATATTTGCAAATATCAGTTTGGATTGGTTTGGACTTTATTTGTACAGTAGGCTCATGGGTAGTGTGTCCATGAACAAAGTAGCCTCCTATTAATAAATCCAAGATCCTTTATCTTTGTAATCAAGGCTCACATGTTTGTATCTAGTCTGAGCTCAGTTGTTATTGTAGGGCATTCAAATGATCATGTGTATTTGAAACACACGCAAAAAAGCTAAGTGAGAACTACCTATAGCTGCAACACTCATTTGACGGAAACAAAAGGCAGATGCAGCTCTACCACTCTGGATACGATAACAGAAGCATTCCCAGCTTTATTAATAATTTAGCAACCACACAGAGCGGAGGGCAGTCGCAGAGGGGAGCTCTGAGCCCTTCTTAGCCGTAGCCTGCGGCTGCAGAAGAGTATGCAAGGTGTTGAAGAAGAGCATTTGTGTTTGTGAAACCTCAATGCTGAAATAACAACAGCACATCATGTCATTTTTTTACGAGCAGGGGAGGGGAAATTACATCGAGTCCCTAGTGAAAAATCAAATGAAAAGAGAGATGGTGTGCTGAGATACAAGAGAATCAACCATGCATTCTGAATAAGTAAACTTGAGATTGTAATTGAATATCATGGGATTATTGTGCTACCCTTGTGAACATCAGCTATGAAGCGATGCGTGCTTGCCAGAAGCTTTTGTAAACAGCTACTAATGGAAATAGAAAAAGGACTGAAGAGGTGATGGTGTTTGAAAACAGGTCATCATCTTATAGATTCAGAAAGGAAAATATTTCACTAACCCTTGGTATGTAATGTGTAGCAATAGTGCCATCTTTTGGTAACCTGAGAGGGAGAAGATGAATCAGGCCTGTTCAATTCAAGCCACACAAACACAAAATACCCCTAGTCCCATTTTAACACATGTATAAAATAAATGTGTTTGTTTTGCAGCCATCAATATTACCCGTGCCAGATTCAGTGGAAGTGATGAGTTTGGTTACACTTCTTTCGTGGCTTATTCCTCCATCCCGAGTCTGAGTTTCTTCTACGAGTTCAAGCTGAAGTTCACACTGGCCAATAATTCATCTTCTGTGAAAGATAACCTGATGCTGTTCGCTGGGCATAAAGGACAAGGTGAGCTCAATTTAGACACCCGCACAGCAATTTAAAACCATTCTACTGGTCAAATGAAAAGACGAAAAGAAACATTGAAACGATTTTTGTTTTCATACTTCATTAAAGATTTACAAATAAGTGTTCACCTGCTGTAATGCACTGACTAATGGATTTCCAATCTCATCAGAGATCCTCCAATCAATTTAAACCCTAAATGGATTTTATTTTGGGGCAGATTGAGAGACATTCAAAATGAGTCTTTCTGCATCCCAATAATTAGTTGATATCCTGGTGCTGTTAACAGCTAACTGTTATTGTTCTTGACTTTCAAAGGGAGCAAGATGGCATTGCTGGCATAAAAACGAACATGTGAACTGAGCATCTCAAAAGTATCCATGCTAATTGCATTCAACAGTCTTTGAGATGCAGGTGCAATGTGATGCTGTCAGCAGCCATCACTTTAAATTAGGATCTCTTCCTGCAGGGTCAGACTTAGTAGCAGGTAACTGCCGTGTCATTGTCACCAGCACATTTCATCAAACGAGGGAGAGGGCAAAGGAATACAAAAGATCTTGTGGATTTTATGCACTCGTTTTCTCTTGAGAGTACAATTCATCAAGGTGGAGGCATAACAAAACAATATGAATATGAATAATGAAACGCTTGTCAGGAGAGAGAGCAGCACTGTTTGAAATGGTACAAAGGCACAAAGTAAGAATAGATAAAAAAACAAATAATTTGCATGATAATTGGTTTAATGAAGTGACATCTTTAATTATTGAGTGGCAGTCATCAAGGTACACGTAATTAAACAAGCAAAGGAGGCAAAATATAGAACAAAAATAGAATTAATATTGCAGCAAACAAACATAATGTATTTGTATGCTTATACTACAGATGCAGTCTTACTGATGATGTTTTAATGGCTGTTTAAAATCGCATAGTGTTCTGCATACTACGTACTCAATGCGTCTTATCACCCACAAACCCTATATATTCATATACATATCCTACATAGTGGTGTAGATCGGTAAATGGTGTAATTGTAAGGTCAGTGTTTGCAGTTCTCATGTCTACTGTGCTTGTAACAAACTATTTATGTGTCTTCCAGGCGATGATGGTGATGACTTCCTTGTTTTGGGACTGCGGAATGGCCGAGTGGTGCATAGATTCAACCTTGGATCGGGCGTGGCAGTCATATTCAGTGAACGACTGAACCTGCAGTCCAACATTCACACCGTTACGCTCGGAAGGTCAAAGAGAACCGGATGGCTGAAGGTGATTTGGTGTTGATAGGTGTCCTTTTTGTTCATAAGAAAGGTGTTGGGCCGCCAGAATAGCTTCAATAGACAATTATCCTGGAAAACAGTGGTTCCCAACCTCAAGGTTGAAATCATTCGAAGGTTTCCTAAGGTTAAGGAATCACCAGATAGTTAAAGGGATAGGAAGAAATAATGTGTATTTCCTTTAACAGCATTTTGTGTACAAAATATTTCATGTTATTCCAATCTGACTTTCATGTGTATCAAGTATAAATGTAATTATCTTGTTTTTTTTCCTCACAGTACCACTGAAAGTAAGTACAGTTTAACATCAACCAGATAATAAAAGTATCAGTAGCAAAAGTGCTTATACAAAGTACAAGGTGATATTTAACTTGGAACTCTGAATCTTACTTTTTTACCGTTCTTACCGCTCATTTATTGGCACTGTGTACATCCGCCCATAAACACTTTAGAGATCTGTCCTGCCCAGTGTAGGTGATGCAGGATGTAAATGGTGTCACAGTAAGGTGAATGATTTCTGAGAACACATCAGGCTGCTAAGTACCAACAAATCATTTGTGGTCCAGTGATCAGGAAAAGGATGTTTGCATCATCTAAGTGTGGCTGAAAAACAGAGGTGGGAAGTTACACAAGTACTGTACTTAAGTACAATTTTGAGATACTAGTACTTAACTTGAGTGTTTCCATTTCATGCTACTTTGTACTTCTACTCCACAACAATTCAGAGTTAAATCATGTACTTGTACACGTTACTACCTTAAGTTACAGATTTGGATACAAAATGTGAAATATAATCAACACTTAAAAGGCAGTTTATTTAAACCTGGAGAGATTTCACAATCTACCCTGCAGTATACAAAGTCACCTTTACCAGCTTTGATAACACTTTCATGCATCAATAGCTATAATCAAAACATATAATATATACCATTCTGAGATGGACTCATTTGCATAATAAATACTTTTACTTAAATTATTTAGTACTTTAGGTATATTTTGATGCTTTACTTGAGTAACATTTTGAATGCAGGACTTTGACTTGTAACCGAGTATTCCTAAACTCTGGTAAAATATCTAAGTGCTGCTCCACCACTGCTGAAAAAGTCTGCAGCAACATTGAAAAGCTGTGGAGGCAGCAAGGTAAGGTTGTGCTTGTGAATTGACATTTTGCAATGCCTTTCTCAGGTTGACGGGCAACGTAACAGAACAGGATCTTCTCCAGGCCCCCTGCTGGGCCTCAATGTTTTCAACCAGCTCTTTGTGGGTGGATATAATGAGTACACCCCTGAACTCCTACCACTTGGATCCAGGTTCCGTAATGGCTTTCAGGGTAAGACAGCAACAGCTTTATTACAGCCCAACACTGTTGTCTGGAGTCAAAGCACCTGTGCTTTGACTTCCTCCAAGGATTCCGGTCTATTTGTAAGCAGAGGGGGAGGCGTGTAATGAAAAAGGGAGTTACAGGCTCGGACTGCTATATGAGGCCTGCACCGAGCTCTGAGGTTGATTGTGCCTGCACCCTTTAATCACTTCACACCCCTCTGCAGTTTGCGTTGTGTGCAAATCCATTCCACTGCTGATAAGTCACATGAACAAGGCTGCCATGCAAATTATCTTTGTGATCATCAACATCTTTTATGCTTTCTCTCAGGTGACCCCATGTAGGATTGTATTCTGGAGAGCATTCATTGTGCTGCTAATGCTCGGGGCTGTGGAGCAAAATTGCCATAACCGTAATGATGACAACAGCTATGAATATCATCATAACCAGATTCAGCAGTCTCTGCAGTACAGCTATGAAGCTGGTTATTATAAGATGTCATGGCTAATCCATTTGAGATGAACAAGAGCTTTTCTGTATTTAAATCCTGGAGCGATTTTCGGTGTTTGCTCATTTATCATTATGTAATTCATTTGTTTTGCCCGCCAAATAAACCTTTCAAAATGGACTCAGCTATGGTACAGCATTAGTCAGGCGGTGCTGTATCAGCCTGTCGTACTCCCCTGTAATGGTGAGCACTACCTGAGTCAGGCGACGCTGGTGGTACCATCACCTCTCTGCTCGGGATGTAATGAGAACTCATGAGCGTCTAATCAGATCTGTGTGACCTTCCTGGAGCCCTAATCATGATGGCTGGCAGTGAACACACTGATAATGCACTTCACTCCCAGTTATCAACAGATCCACACTCCCCTTTGGAAAGGTGGCAGAGGAGGTACTGCAGCTGCCGGGGCGGGGGGAAAAAATCAGTTACTCTATTTGAGCTGCTGATCAAAAAACATGGAATGAGGAGGCTTGTGTTTTTAAATCATGCATATATTTTTTGATCACACTTGTTGAAAGACATTGAGGGTCAGTACCAGTGCTAACAAAATAAATGGGGTTGTACATGCGTATATCCCTGTATTCATTTATAGAAAACATTCTAGTGAATGTGATATGGAACGCTTTGAGCGATACATTTCAAATTTGGTACTAACGTTTACTAGGACTCAAGGAGGAAATGATTGGATTTTGGTGGCCAAAGGTCGAAAGGTAAAGTTGCTGTGACCTTCTGCTTCCCTTTCTCATGAACGCCTTGAGGGTATTTCTTCAAATGTTTCATTAATGTCCACCCAAGGATGAACTGTTAACATTTTGTGGTCAAAAGTCACTGTGACCAAACAAAACAAGCTTTTGGCCTTAATTGCTAAATGAAATTATAAAGCAATGACTGCATGGTGGTACAATTGATTTGGATTCTTAAAGATTGCCACAGGAACTAAATAGAAAATATTCTGAAACCATTTTTTGTAAGGCGGTAAATCCAAATTCACTGTGCACATGTTTTTCTCTCACATGTATTATTGCCAGACTTGGCTCTTCTGGTTTCTTATTTCTTTGTAATAAGAGTCATGAGAGCAGCAAAACAAAAAATAACCAGCTTTAATAATCTTCCTCGTGAATCTGCTTCGCTTTTGGATGTTTGCAGCTCGGCAACCATCACTTGAGTCTGCCAAGAAGACAGCATCATGCCATGAATATTCATGAATGAGCATGACATTTTCCCTGCATCCTGTTTATGCCAATGACTAATGCAGCAGAGAGATGGGAGTCAGCGTGTGCAGATGACTCCATGGCTTGTGCTCAGGTCTTATATTTATAGAAGGCCCAGTGCTCCGCAGGTACAGGCCAAAGCAAATATTGTCTTGGTAAAAATGGAATTATGAAAGCAGAAAGCAAATATGATGAGGGAGATGCATGATGACAGGGGGAAGAGACTGGATTTAAGAACTTGGACATCTTGGATGTGTACGGCAGAGACTGCAGATAATTTATTCCATCAAATTCAAGAGTTAACATCCAATAAAAACGTTTGGAATTCAGTATGTATACTTGATATTAACCCCTGTGGTGTCACACGATCCAAAAGCCATTTAACAAATTAACTCAGAGTTGTCCCTTTTTCACTCATTCTATTTGAAATCCAACTCAGGATATTCACATTTGAGTTTGTCCACTAATAAACCTCATACACGGAAAATTAAAAATGTTCTGTTTCCTCTGATTATCCCCTAAAAAAAAGATACCCCTCTGACTTACTGTGTTTGTCCTTTCCAAAGGGTGCATTTTTGATGTGCAGTTTCGCACAAGAAGAGACAGAAAGTTCCAAGTGCTGGGCCAGCCTGCGGGACATCCAGCCTTCGGGCGCAGCGTGGGTCAGTGTGGAGTCACCCCGTGTGTTCATGTTCACTGCAGACATGGGGGGACATGCGTGGACTCTGGCTCATCTGTGTAGTAAGTACAAAATAAATGACATTTGGTATAATCATTTTGATGACTTGCACCAAATCCACTTGTGAATGGTTTTATGAATGACAGGGATTCACCCCGACAATGTTTTTGTTCTTGATATTCCCATGAGACTAAACATCAGTCGGCTATAGAAACTCAGTTACACAGTACAAGTATAGCGAAAGGAATGACAGCGTTTACAAGCTTTTCACAGAGCCTGCCTGTGTCCGTCTGCAGTTGCCAGTGCCCATTTGGATGGAAGGGAGCACTCTGTTCTGAGACGGTGTCTGTGTGTGATGTGGAGCACACCCCCCCTCCTCTGTGCGCCCATGGCTCCACCTGCATCCCCCTGCCCAATGGATATACCTGCCAGTGCCCCCTCGGGACCGCAGGGCTCTACTGCGAGAAAGGTTGCGCCACTGAACCTTAACTTTATCATTATGTTTTTTTTAATTTATTTATTAACACAAGACCTTCACTTTTCAATTGTTGAACTGCTGTATCTTTCTGCCTGTGACAGCTGTGACCATCAGTGATCCGTTCTTCAGCGGTAACCAGTCTTCATGGATGTCATTCCCACCTATGAGCATTAGACACAGGACTGTTCTGCAGCTGCAGTTCCAGCCTTTATCACCTGATGGCATCCTTGTCTACACTGCACAGCACCTCAGTGCCAGATCTGGTGAGGACATTAATATCCTGCTTTATTTTGATAAAATAAATATTACATTTGCGGTGCAGAATGTGAGTGTGTTGATATCCAGGATTACTATATATTTGCTCTCAATGTTCTGCCACGATGGCAAACATTATATATGCCAATGATCCTTTTATTCCACTGTATAATAAAAAAGTAATGATATACACATTGCACTTACAAAAAGGTCCCAAATTGGGATCAAGAAAGTTTTATCTTACCTTTATAAAAACAGCCTTTTGAGTAATAGATATATATCTATCTCAAAAAGTCAAAACAGTGTCTAGTGTGATGAAATAAAAGCATACAAAGTCATGGTATATTACAAAAATAGTACAGTAGTTAATGACAATGTCTTCATATAAAAGTCACAAAGATTTTTACCAAAAAAGTAATAGTTTAGTACTTCACAAGGAGTCAATTTCAAAAGAAGAGGTAATTGTGTATCTCAGAGCCTTTCAACTTTACATTTTCGGTCAGTAGTTTCCACAAACAATGTTCTTGTGAATTTGGTCGAAAACTGACGTAAACCTGTCAAATGTGCTTTTTTTCTACTACAAAAACAGGTGAACTGACTTTTTGACAGAGGGACATCACTACAACTGAAAAGTATGACCATTTTATTTTCTTCCAACAGGAGACTTCTTGTGCCTCTCCTTGACATCGGGCTTTGTCCAGCTGCGGTACAATCTGGGGGATGGCCCCCACATCCTGCAGTCTGTTGAGCGAGTGGACTCACGTGGGAGGACCTGGCACTCGGTGACGGCTGGCCGGGTCGATCACCAAGGCTTCCTCAGTCTGGACAACAAGGAGACTAGAGAGAATGTGACTGGGGGGATGGCCACTCTCGATGTGGCTACTGACATCTTCATCGGGGGCGTGTCAACCTTAAGCTTCGTCTCCACAGATGCAACAGAAAAGGAGCCGGTGGGCTTCACTGGGGGTTTAAGAGAACTCATACTGAACGGGGAAGAGTTGGAGTTAACAGAGATGGGGGCTATAAGTGGAGCAAATGTGGGGGACTGGGATGGGACCGCCTGTGGGCATAAGGTGTGCAAAAACAGAGGACACTGCAGGTCAACAGGAAGTGACTCATTTATGTGTGTGTGTCCACCATCTTGGACTGGCTCTGTGTGTAACCAGTCTGTAAGCTGTTTAAACCACGTCTGCAAACAGGGTTCCTTATGTGCCCCATCTGGTCTCCCCTCATACCGCTGCATATGCCCTTTGGGACTGGGTGGGAAGTACTGCGACTCAGAAATAGCCATGGACACTCTCAAGTTTGTGGGAAGCTCATATGTTAAATACCAGGACCCGAGATACAACACGAGGAATTTTAAATACACACAGGTTTCTTTCAGCTTTAAAACCAGCTCGAATAACAGTTTGGTAATGTGGATGGGGAAGGCTGAACATGAAGATGACGACTACCTCGCAGTGGGACTTGAAAACGGACACCTCAAAGTTGCTGTAAATCTTGGGGAGAGGCTTTCCCTGCCAATAACTTTCAGAAATGTCACACTGTGCTGCAGCACGTGGCACAATGTGTCTATATCTTTAAACAGTACAATTATCCAGGTGGTGGTGGACAACGAGAGCGTCCTCCAAGATTTAGATCCATTTGAGCGTTACGTGGCTTTAAACTACGGAGGTCAGCTTTACTTTGGGGGGTTTGAAGTGTACAGAAATGTATCTATTGTTACTTCTGGGTTGTTTTCAAAAGGCTTTGAAGGAAATCTAAGAAATGTTTTTTTGTTTAAAGATACCAAGCCACTGCAGTTTCTCAGGAATAGTGAGGGATTCGATGTTTACGAGGGCAATGAATAGTAGTGACATTTTGTGATGGTATCTGAGGAGATTTTTGTAGAGTCCTTAGGTTCAAAATGTTTTGGAAAGGTTATCACTTAAAGGTGGGGTAGGTAAGCTTGAGAAACCGGCTCGAGATACACTTTTTGTTATATTCAATGGAATGCTCTTAACATCCCGATAGCAATGAATATCTTACAGTAAGTGCTTTGACAAAAAATCCAATCTGTAGTAGCCGTAGTACTGTAAAAAGCACGATCAATTTAGCCGGCCCGGCTAAAATAACTGGATGGCCTACCTGCCTGTCAGCCTTCCATCTGTGCACAAACTTATCTCGTGCCCTCATTGGTCATGTGCACGTTCGTGTGTGTTGGAGGAGGGGCTCTGTAAGGAAGTGGCAGATTTTTTTCCGGCTGTGTATTTTCAAATTCTAGCGCACTCGAGCTGGTTTCTCCAAAATTACCTACCCCACCTTTAACTGTTTTAAACTTGTTTCTGCAAAATTGTACTGCTTGATTTCCATGTGACACGGGTAAATGTTTCAGAATAAATGTAATAAAACTTTTATGATTAAATATTTCAAACATATTTTGTGATGCTTTACATTAGTCATTTTTCCAACGAGAAAAAAATTAAACTAAAGTCCTAATGTCTAAAATCTTGTTAATATAACAATTAGAACACATTTTTTATAATCAATAATAAAAAAGAATTAGCTTTATTACGAACTGTACAGAAACACACAGTGCAAAGGCACACTTCATCTCTAATGTATATTATAAGCCAAAATGTACATACCTTTTCAAAAAAAGTAAGTTTAAAAAATAATTAAGCAATTTAAAAGAATTTAAATGGGGGCGGGGGAGAAAAGCTGCTGTTCCAAGGTTCTCAGTGAAACGTTTTCTGTGTTACATTCATGCCAACTTAAAATGTCCACCAGATGGTCCACACGTTGTTCGTATGTTCCCACAAAAACATTTACTGATTGTTTGTAGTCAGCACGGCAGCTCAAAAGGAGCTGGATATATACAATACAAAGGTTAAAATGTTTCAATATGAAGTTCTTCTTGGCTTGAAGAGAACATGTCTTCACAATCTGACTTGAAATTATATTTCATTTTGGCTGTATTGTTATTAACATAAAATGGGTTACTTCTATGAAGGAAATGGCATACAAGCTGTGGACCGTGGACAAACAACTTCACAATCAAGTGTTTTGAACCGGTTTAGTGACCAACAGTCTTTCTTAAAGCCTCCCCAAACCATGTCAGAGCTTTAAAAAAATAATAATTAACTGTCTTTTGAGCTTCTCCGTCCATTCTCATAATCAGAGTCCCTCCTGTTTCTTTGTCTGTCCTTACTCCGGCTGCTGTGATCGTCGCTGTGGTGTCTCTCTTTCCTCTTCTCGCCGTAGCGGTCGTCAGAGTGTCCGCGGTGCCTGCTCCTCTCTCTCTCGTGGCTGCGATCGCGCTTCCTCTCCCTGTCGTGGTTCCGGCTCTTCTTCCCGTGATGAGTGTCCCTGTGATGGCTGTGTCTCCCGTGGTGATCTCTGTCCTCGGACGTGCGCGGCCTCTCCCACGGATCGCTGTATTTCTCCTCTTGACGCTTTTGTTCTTTGGCCAGGGACGGAGGCGGGACAGCTGGTTCGGGACAGCTCTCTGCGTACTGGGATTGAAGTGAAGCGAGAGCGTCTGACGAGCTATTCGGAACCCACGGTCCACTGTGATTCTGATCCTGGGGGGGTGGGCTGGAGAAAGTGTTAGGGGGAGGAGGAGGGGGAGGGCCTGTGGGGTAGCTGCCAGGTACCTGAGGCTGCTGAGATGGGATGGATGCATCCTTGTGTTCCGAGAGAGCTGGTGCCACTACAGAGTCCTGCTTGATCTCTGAGTAACTCACTGCCTGTGGTTCTTCTGCAGGAGCACAAACTGTCTGGAGTGCTTTAGCCTCAGCCTGGGATGTGCCCGGGTTCTCCTTTTCACTCGCCGGTGATGGAATAGCTGTTTGTTTTTCTTCCTTGGGTTTGCTCTTGGCCTGATAAAGCTGTAAATATCCTTGGTGAAAGAGTGTAACCGGCTCTTTTCTAGCACTGCTCACAACAGGAACAGGTTTGGGGCTCAAAGGAGCCGGGTGGCTTGCTTCATCCTTTTGTAGCACTGCTGTTTTATCCTCATTCACACTGGAATAGGCTGAAGATTTTTTCAATATTCCACTTAAAGGAGGTTTGGAGCTGTTAGCTGGAGGAGCCATGGATTGGGGCTGCGACAAAGAGTTCCCTTCAGATGGTGTTTTCTCAGACAGAAGCCCAACGTCTCCTTTGTTTGCAGAAGCAGCGCTGCTGGTTTCAGTCAGCGCTGCTGAAAGGCTCGCTAAAAACGCTTCGGTCGATACATCTGGAGGCTTATCTTTCAGAGAGACAGGTGCACTGTGGGTCACCGCTGCGCCATCCTTTCCTGATGAGTTGTTAGCAACAGATGTAAGAGTCGGGCTGGGTAGCGCCGGTTCAGCTTTAACAGATTTAGCGTCTTTCTTTCTGATGACAAAGCGCTCTCGCTGTGAAGCAGCTGTTGGACTTTTTAAGCTCCCAGTCGAAGCCTCTGTTTTTGGAGCTGCTTGAGTCTTCTGGGTGTCATCTGCTGTTGTTGCAGGTTTACCTCCAACATCTGGCAGAGGTGGACATTCCCCACCCAAGCCTAATAACACACCTGGAAGAAAGCGCAGTGGTTTTCCGGGCTCCTGATTGTTGGGCTCCTCCGATGCAGATGGTTCTTCCGAAGATTCTGTAATCGGCTCTTTAACTTCTTCCGTAGGGTTAAGTGGTTTTTCATTTTCTTTTTTATGTGTAGTAGTCAAGGAGGAGATGAACATTTTCTCCTCCTCCTCTTGGGCTCTGGTTTCTTTTGTAGAAATGGTGATGGGCATGATTTCAGGAATAATCCTGGCAGTTTCGTTCATGTCCACAGGAACAAATTCCCTTTTAGGTGCCTGGCGAATGATGAGTCCAAGAAGAAGGTTGGCACGGTTGTTTTCTAAACCTGTCAAAAGGAAGACATTAAGTCAAATAAGAAATGTAATGTCACCTACAGAGAGGAACATAATTCTTGTTTCATGTTCTTTACCTGGCCCATCAAAGGGAACAAGCTGATGTGGGACTTTTTCAGTGGCGCCCAAAGGAATGATATACATATCCTTCACTTGTTTACGGTTATTGGACACCACCCCGAAACGCCTACGACTGCTAAAGTAGGCATACAGGAGGGTATAGGAGATCTCATCTTCGTCCGTCTCGGGGGAAAAGCGGATCAGGCACACCTCCTTTAATAAAAGAAAAAGCATGCGTCAGTAAAAAATCTGCAATCCAAGTGCCAGAGGTTTGCACATAAATCTTCAATGGAGCAGCTTTATAATGCATCACATGTGGATGTTAATTGTAAGGACTTAAGCTGCTCTTGATCACAATGAAACTTATGTAATTCTTGGTGATTATATTTAATGACAGAATTTTACTACAGGCTGTTTAATCCCTTTCAGTGGGAAAGCTGCCAAAAACTCACTTTAGTTCCCATTGCCCGAATCTTCTCCAAGTAGTCCCACACTATCTGTGGAGTTATCCTCCCGCCAACTTGAATGCTGTCTGGAAGGTCCTGTTGGGAGAGGAAACAAAGCTCCAACCTTAGTGGCAGCACTTAGTCTAGCTACTCAAACTCAAAATATATTCATTTTTTCCCACGTTACCTCAGACAAGTTGTCCAAAGTGCCTGAGACAAGGAAGGCTTTTGTCATTAACTTGGCCACAGCGTGCATGTGAACGAGTCCTTGCCACAGGCACTTCAGGTTGGATAGGAAAGCGGCTTCTTCATCTCTTCCAGCTACATGATCCGACCTGTAGCGAATACAAAATTCAGCTAGCTTGCAAAAACTAAGCTTGTAGACGAGAACCACACATTATCAGAAATGACTGTTTACCTTCCATCGTAGCCCGACTGAGCGCTTCGGAAGCTTTCCTCTAAAACGGTGAGGTGCAGGTCGTCCTCTGCAGGGGTCCCCGCGCTCTTCGTCTCTTCCGATTTGGTGGACTGCCTCCTGACAACTGTAGTGGCAACTTTAACCACCTTGGTCGGTGCCTCCTCCACAGGTGGCGCCATACGACCTATTTCAAATAAAGAAACAACAACACAAGTTGGTAACTGAAAATAATGACAGCAGGGAAAAACATAGAAAGTGGTGATGTCATCTAACTTACTACTGTGGACCAGGGCAGCAGCAAAACTCCTTTTAGCAACCTAGAAGTTTATGTGTATGCTAAATTTAGAATATTTTCACCATCTGACATTACCATCAGTCAGCCTTTCCCTACAGGCAGCTGCCTCATCAAAGCTGCCAGACCCCATTGAGAAAAACTGTATGTTTAGCTTGCAGAATAGTTGCTTTTCTACTGTTTGTTTGTGGTAAAAGTGTCATTTTCAGTTTTAAAAAGGGTTAGTTCAGATTCACCAAACTCGCACAATAAACACTAATCAGGCAAGCGGTTGACCAGCATGTCTCGAGTTCTGCAAGGTCAAAATACAGGTTATCTTAAAGAAGTGTCATATTGATTATCCCATTGATGACTAACATCACAACTTTTTTATTTCAGGGTTTACCTGTGCAGATTTTGCAGTGTAGGTCAAATAAGTGAGACTTGTGTTGGTTGGTTGTGTCTTTCTCTGTGCCGGGACCCTCTGCTTTCTCCTCAGGGGTTTTTGGAGATTCAGCTGTGACTTCGGTAACTTTGGGAGGTGAGTCAAGCTGAGAAGGGGAGAAAATAATAGACATTGAAGCAAACATGTCACGAAAACATTAAATAATGTAGAGTCATATTTGTTGGGGCCCTTACCTCTTCGGGCTCAGGTTCTTTCTCTGGTTCTTGGCTTTCAATTTCAATTTCTCCTTTGTGTGTGATTTTAGTGATCGGCCGTCTCTCTGCCTCTCTTTGCTCCTTTTCAATCATCTCAATAGTCTGTAAAATAAGGAATATATTTCTTTTTAAAAAGGGCTGCTGAATGTCTTGCATTCCAAAATACAACCAAATAAATGTGATAAAAAAGGGAAAAACATTTCAAGCTTAACCTTAACTGACCTTTTGTATTGTTAAGGGCTTTAAGAAGAATGCTGTCATTTTTTTACAAACTTGATGGCATATATTCAGTTTCACAGGAAAGCATTACTTACATGTCGGTTCTCCCTTTGTCGCCAAGCAGCTAATTCTTTAGAGGCCAGTTCCTCGGGGCTCATTCGAATCAGGTTACCAGGAGAAACTTCCCCTTTGAGAACCCTCTTAAAGAGGACCTAAAAATACAACCAAAGAGCAAGTGTAACTATGAATATATTAAAACTCAAAAGGTAAAACTCAAAACATTTGAATCATGACTGGTTTACAATGATACTTACATTATTTTTAGTGTCTTTAAGATTGAACATCAAGCTTCTGTACTTGTTCTTGTATTTGTTGTCAGTGTCTTTATACAAGTGAAAAAGCTCTCTCTCCGTTTTCTTGGCAACTTCAGAAGCCTTCTCCACTGAGACCTTCAAATCAGACTCCTTCAACCTGAGGTGCAGAAAGTTTAGGTAGTTGTTTGCTAAGTTTTTCAATAAAAAGACATATCAGTTTATCTTTTACTTTCACCCATGAAAAACGTACCTCTGTATGAGGATTTCTTTCAGAGAGTCCCGCACACTTCGCCGGATCGCCTCCACAGACACAGGTTTCTTTGAACCTGAAGACTTACTTTTTGACTCTTTCAGATAAAAGCCTGTGAAGACAGAATGAAGATATCTACTGAGCAGGAGGGGAACTCTGCAACAACAGGGATTTCATACAAAGTTGTGATACAAGAAGGCTGTTATCTAATATCTAAGAAAAGACAGAGATAATGTGTATTATCTTCTGTTTTGAACAAGACTTGTTGTAGATGTAACTCAATTTAGGGCTGAAACTAATTATTATTTTCATTATCAAATGACCTGCTTTTCTGATTTATCATTTGGTCTATTATATGTCAAAAAGTAGTTAAAACTTTCCATCCAAGTTTCTAAACACTTCTTAAAAAATACCTGTTTTATGAGCTGCATCTGTGGAGTGCCTCCTGTCTGGATCCTATTTTAGGAGAGAAAAGGAAAAAGCACATTAGCCATATCATAGTTAATAACTTCAATAAAACAGCAACATTTAAAAATTGGAAAAAGACACCACATGAAATATTCTAACCCTCAGCCAAACATTTAAAACACAGGGTGAGTATTTATGTGTGGGAAAATGTCCCGAACCTTGGTGGGTATACACACACCCATGTGCAAACCTTCTTTACAGGCAAAGTAAAAGCAACAAAAAAAACATTGTACAGTGTTGACACTAGCTATGATTAATATCAGAGGATGAAATCAAATATCCTGGGGGAACAAATAAATGATCCTTTATATCGAAAGGTTTCCATTTAAGCATGATCAAAACAGCTTTATCAAAGACCTCAAAGTGTTACTGCTTACATTTCTTAGTGGTCTGACGCCTCCTGAGGTTAGTTTCTCGGAGGGTCCTGGTTGGGGCTTGGGGGGCGGTCTCACATCCGGTTCCTCCGCCTTTGCTTTAACTTCTGGTTTGGCTGCAATCGGGGGCTCGGGCTCCACCTTTTTGCTTTCTTCCTCACAACACTTCAAGCACACGTACATCTGATCTTCCTCCTCCATCTCGCGTACTTTGGTAAGGTCGAGACCAACACAGTCGCCGTGGAACCAGTCTTCACAGCGACCGCAGCCTACCATGAACCTAAAAGAAGTGCAGACATTATTAAAAGGTGTTTTTTAAGCATTCTGTGCCGACACATTCTGGCCCACTATAATAATGACACCAGTAGAACAATTACATTTGTGTTCACAAACACTTATTTGACTGTAAGGCAATGTATTTTGATATTTGTACAAACACTGTGGTAACTTTTAACTTTCCTCATCATTTCTATCATCTTTGAAATCCACTGAACTCTTGCAGGTTGTGCTGGGTAAATGTTCAACTATCAAAAATTCTAAATTGTTCACATTTCTATAAAAAAAAAGATAACCACCTGCAAAGTTAAATCTACAACATACACCAATTATGTCTGAGTAAGAAAGCAATCTGTTCTGCAACACTTACGTGTTATTGTGCTGGTTCTTGCACAGGCCACAGCAGTTGTTTCCATCCCATACCGACTCACTGTTAGCGGGTGTCTCTTCAGCATTTTCCTTCTTCACAGCAGGAGCATTGTCTGGGATAAACAGCTGCGGCTCATCCACGGAGATGCTTCTTGGAGTTTTACTTTTCTGTCTTTGAAGAATCTTTTCTGGCTTTTTCAGTTTGGGCTTTTCCTGCCCCCCCTCTTCTGTCATTTTTAAAGGATTTCCTGGACGAACAGGTGTTTGAGAGGCCGTCTCAGGCTTGGAGATATTGGGTGGAGACGTGTGTTTAGTTGTTCCCTGCGGGTCAACGCGGTTGCCAGACGATGGGCTCTTCTTACCGAGAGAGCTTGGCTTCCCCTTACTCTCACCTGCGCCCTGTGTCTTTTGGATTTTTGTAGCATGCTCACTTTGGGTGAATTCTGCAGGCCTTTTCAAAGGTGATATTTCTTTCTTTTCCTTGAGATTTTTTATTCTAAGCAGGTCGTCTCTTTGGATTTTGGATGGCATGTTTTGGGTTACTTTATGTCCCTTAACCGTGTTATTTGGTTTATCAGAAACCAAGTCTTTATTCTTGTTAGAAGGCAGTCCTAGTTTCGACTTCGGTAGTGTTTTGGCCATCTGTTGTTTTTCCTTATCATTTGTCTTGTTACTAACAGTAGTTCTGTTATTCTGAATGTTTTCTGGCTCTTTGATGCCATCCTTTTCTTTACCGACGGTTTTTAGTTTTTCAGGAACACTATGATAGTCGTGTTTTGTCTCTTGCGTGCAGGTACTCCCCATCAAAGTCCCGTTGGGGGTCTGCACGTCGTTGGGATTCACATACGGGCCGAGCCCCAGGGCCGCATCATCAGTAGAGCTCTTCTCAACTTCAGCAACTTCAGCCACTTCAGCCACTTCAGCCACTTCAGCCACGTTCTCAGGTGTGGGATTCTGTACACTGACGGTATCACCTGGCAGCACCGCAAACCCAATGTCCCCAGAATACAAAAAGCCACCATCAAGGCTCCCTTCTACATTGTGTGTGTAAGAGGGTCCTGGAAGCAGCTCAATCTTAAATCCTGCAATTGTGACAGTCAATCGTCTCAATACAACGGAAGGATTCAGCCATAATGCACCTTGAAGATCATTAATATCAACACGTCCTCCCAGAATTAGTTCTTTCTTCAGTTGGGCGCCTTTAACTCCTTTCTCGATAAGAAACGACTTGCGGATCCTGTTCGCTGGTTCCCTTCCTATTCGTCCTCGGGTCATGGTGTTGGTGGATGTGTCTGTTTCAACAACAACAAAGCAAACAGAGAATAAATGTCACACCCTTTATAGTTGACGGTGTCATATCGTGGAACTAAATGAGTAATTTACCGTTCTCTAAATGACTTGGACGTTTATTCTGCCTGCCAACAGGTTGCTTGACTTGTGAAGTCTCTGCATCGGTCAGTTCACCGCTGAGGCCTGTGGGTGCTGAACCATCACCGAGAGCTGCAACAGCTGAAACAAATACAGGTATTTTAACTTCCTGTGTACCAAGTGTATTTCTTTTTTAATTATGTATACATTTAACACAAATAGAAATTGAATTGGCAATCCCAACACTAAAAAAGATTGAACTCCAACGCACTAAATAAATAGTTTCAATGCAAAGCCTGATAGGGCTGACACCACAATATTGGTGTGCAATTCAAAACTTAGCAGTAGGTGAATTGTAAGTGAACCGTTAAGTATACTTAGAACCTCCTTTAGCAAGGTCTATTGTGAATTATAATACCCTTTAGTGTGAAGCAGCCAGATTAGGCTTTGGTAGTAGCATATGTAAATAAGCTTTAAATCAAGGTTTGGTATCAATACAAATCCATATTGGACATTTGTATTTTGTCCGTTGACATACCTGTTGAGCCAGCAATTGGAAAAGTGGAGTCCTCATTGTCCAGCAGATTGAACTGAGAGGAGCTTGCACATCCAAACATGGGATCTTTATCACTGAGCATGTTCTTCAGCGACTCTTCCAGCCGGAGTCCTGTCCCAAACGCATTACTCGCGTCACATTCCAAATTCTGACCAGCTATCAGGGAGTCGTCCAACTGGTCACTGGGTATTAAACTGTTAAAGCTGTCCACAATATCCATGAATGCTGCTGCCTTCCTGTATGAAAACAAACAGACAGAATGTAGGAAAAACAGCAGTTACCAATTTTGATCAAGCAAAAACAATTATATGAATAATTATAGAAGAACTATCTTGATGCATGTCTTTGGTCTTATCTCAGCAAGCTAGTAAGGATGAGCAGATATTAATTCGTTTTGAGGCTAAACTACCTTGTTCCACAATGATACAAAGCAACAGGCAGTACAAAGTGTATAATAAACACAAAATTACAAAAAATAAGATTTTCATATCATGGATAACTAATATTTAATTTTAAATAATACTGTATGTCGACATTTGTTTATTATGGACCATAATCATTTTGGGGTTTTAAAGGAACCATGAATTTTGTGTATTTTTAAAGATGATATCTGTGTCTTAAGGTTACATGGGGGTCCAATATGGGTCAATTTTAAGGGCCCCTTTATCGTGAATGGTCGGTCATTTTGGATTATCCAACCACGTTTAAACACTTCTATAAAAGGTAGAGTAAAACAAATTCAAGTTGAAAGGTGATGATTATTACTGACGGAATGTCCCTTTTAAAGTTGTTGGAAATATAGTGATGGGGAGCTTTAAACGTCTCTTCTGCGCTGCCTGTTTACTGTCCTGGTACGGTTAGGCTGCGTTCAAAAAGCCTCGCATGATCTCAGTTGTGGCCATTTCCGTGGGTCTTTCACATTGTGAATACAGATTAGGTATATATCTGCAAGTGCAATAAAAGCTTTTACGATGACCAACTTGGAAAACCATCAAAAGCAAAGCTATGATTAAATTAGCAGCAAGTTGCCCATTCCTTACAATAAAGTTACACTACACAATATTGTGCAGGCCAGAAATAAACAGTGCATTAAAAAAGCGCTACGTTAATATGTTAGCAGATCTCCAGACGGGTTTATGCAATGATCCCTAATATGACTTAATCCCAATTTGAAACACAGCATGTTTGTGACCTAGTTCTCTCAATGTATGAAGTGTTTGCTAGTTAGCATGCTAGCGTTATAAGACGGCTAACAACAATCCGCAGCAGAGCACTAGCATCATTAGCAAGCTAATGCTAGCATAAGAAGGAAGTTACCACTTTAGGTAACTCACTGTCTTAAATTTATGAACTGATCCTGTGAATATAATTTGCATCAACAAAAATAAAGGCCAGAACATCAAAAATGTGTTGCATAAAATATGTAAACGTTTATTTAGACCGCTCGGTGCTTAATCTGTCAGACAGGCTAGTTCGCTTGCTTTAGCATTAGGCCTCAAGCTACCAAGTTTGTTTGTAGCCTGAGTGCTGCTAACGGTCGTTAGATGATCACGCCCACATGCATCTGCTCCAATGCGATCAGTTCGGATATTAAGAAATATTTATCTTCACGTATAATACTCTTACCTCTCTTTTACTGCAATGCTGTCTCCAACTCGTTTAGGGTTACATACTAGCACAGCTGCTCCCAGTAACTTCCTCCAACTCGGCCGTCATTCGTCCTGCTGCTGCAAAGCCCTGACAGGCAGCGCTGTTTGTCACGTGGCTTCTGTTTACAGGTAGCTTAGCAGCTGATGGTGCGAACATTACACTTGTCTACATTATACTTCTATTTGCGGGGTTTTCAATCTTGTTGCTCTGTAAAGAAGAGTCCACACGGGTTAACTTAATTGAAGAGCAAACTATGTTAACTTTTGAAATGTATTCAGCCAACTAAAGGTGGAAAGGCTATTTTCTTTCTGCCATAAATATATTAAATCAGGAGTGTACAATTTGTTTTTACCGAGGGCCATCCACTAGAGATGAGGTATATTGCCTCACAAGTTCAGTTATAAGTTAGAAAAACGAATCAAATATAGGTCAATTGTGCTTGATACTTGATAATGCCTTAAGAAAAAAACAGCCATCACAGCTCTCCACAGAGTTTCATTTATTCTGTTGGGAGCTCATCCGTCAAAACATGTGAAGCCACAGATTGCTTATAATAAGGGGAAATATGAAGGGTCTATTTCAAGGTGTTTATGTAAATAAGTTGTTGGGCGTTTTTTCTTATCAACTAAGATTTGTTAGAAAATGTTTCCAACTTTAATTGAGTGAATTTATTTGAAAAGTGGTCTTATTAACACATGAATATTACTGTGTAATATATTTTTACATATATAAGAAGTACCATAAGTCAAGCAAAAGTTTAATTTGTGGGCCGTATTACATTGTACTTTTTGAATTTGCTGAGGGCCGATTCAAAATGGTCAGCAGGCTGCATTTGGCCCCCGGGCCGTAGTTTGGACACCCCTGCATTAAATAGTCCAACGTGAAATAGTTGAAACCCTCTTGCCTGGAAAGCAAATGTATTTATTATGTGTCTATGTATTATTTATTTATCTTTTTTTGTTTAAGTGTGACGTCATTTATAGCTTTATTTATGTTTTTTTATGGGATCATATACTCAGTAAAATGATCATGGTTTCTTTTAAACTTGACGGAAAAATTACCAGTCGGCTTATTCATGCAGTCGTTAATCATTTCAAAGGAACCTGTGATCATAAAGCTATCGTTGAGTAAAATTGGACTTGGGACTCTTGAGTAAACACAAACATTTCCAACTTGCATAGCTTACAAGTTTGCAGTTTGTGTAGCCCAAAGATATCCTAACATTATAACACCATCTCTTATTATTTAAGCCAATAACTGAAATGGGTTGTATGATGAGATAAGGATTTTTTTATAATGGAATTTGGTGCGCAAAGTTTAAATACTCCTTTATAAATGTATATAACTGTAATTCTGAATGCATCTAGTTTTGCTCTGCACACCAACAGCAGGACATTGTTATGATAACATGTATGTTGCTCTGACATATTGGCCTCTGAATGACTTCTTCTACATCTATTTCATACTTTTAGGACAGTTACAGTTTAGTTTGCCCACGATCAAGTTCCTTTAGTTTTTCCCTTTAGCACTGCACCAACAGCCTTCACTACAGTATGAATCTTAAGTTTTCACATTTACTGAAATACATCGAGATTACTTATAAGAACAACATAAAAGTAATTTGAAAATTGTAAATAATAGTTAGTTATATTAAAAGCCCAGGTTTTGAAGATACTGCTGTGCTTCAAAAGAATAACTACTCCTGGTCTCCAGTTCAGTGTTTTGTGAACCACCACCTTATGAACCCTCAGTTAAGAGCTTCCCCATGACTTAAATCCCAGGAAGTAAATGGTTTTGCTTTCTCATTCAAATTCAGAATCAGGTTTGTATACAGTGACTGTCTCTGTTTGAGTAGCCATTATTTAAAAGGATGAAGCAGGGCCAACAATGCTGCTGGCCAAATGAAGAAGAGGCTCATGAATGAAGCTGTTGTTATGTTAACAACCCCCTGATAGTCCATTCCTACCAGAGGTGATTACAAAATACGATTCAGTATCACAGACATACAGTGCTTAATTTATGTATTCAGTAAATGTTATTGAATTTAAACCAAACACTTGATTCTTAAATTGGAGCAGGATGGTCTTGAATCCTATCCTAGTATTGTCTTTTCCTTCTTTTAGAGGCCATGTTGCAGTAAAGTCATTTCCACTCACTAGATTGTAATGGGTGTTCTATTATTATTTAAGTCATTATATCCACATTACTGTCTAATTATTTATCAAATCTCTCACAGAACAATCATTTTTGCTCCAATGGTTAACCTCATATTTGTAACCAGATATGTTTTTTTTGTATGCATATCACCGGGTGCCACTTTTCTGTTAGTTGTTTAGTCCACACTGTGTACCTTTAATACAGTCTTTCAATTTTTACCCACCAGAGCTGATTATCATGACATGCAAAAAATTGTATGTATAAACGTGTGAAAGAGTGATGATAGATGGTCCTGGGAGGAAATAAACTTACATAATGTAAAAAAGAAATGTTTTTTGAAGAAAAAAAAGATCTGACATTTTCAATTTGTATTTAATGTAATATTCAATCCAGAAATCAGGGGATAACAAAAACTGGTCCGATTTAGACTTAGAATAATATCTACCAGCTTCTCAATTATGTCATTGTACATACAGTATGTAGCTCTGACATGCTAATTAATGAAAAAAACTAATTTCCTTTGGCTACAAACACCAGTGGCAACTATCAACAATGACAGACAGTGTGGTCCAAACCATAGAGAATTAGTAGAAAAACAATTAAGAAATACAGTATGTGTATTCTATAGCTCCATACTTTGAATGTTATTGGCCTAACTTTTCATTCAGTCTTTCCTTTGGGTCTAATCCATACCACAGAACATCCTGATCCACTGCTGCCCAGGCCATTCGCTCTGTGCTAAATGTTGGTGCCCACTGTCCTGCACGGAGAAACGACTATAGCGCCTCCTGCACCATGGACAGCGGTCTCCCAATGTACTGCAGAGACAACTGGGAAGAATCTGCTTAGAGATTTACCTGTGAGAAAATATGGAAATCAATGGGAAAATTAATATTCAGGGAAATCAATTGTGTCATGGTCGTTTAACAAGTGTCGTCCAATGTTCCTGCTGTCATATGTCAAAACAAATCAACCTTCTTAAAACTTGCAAACCATTGTCAATGGAAGCCAGTATGTACACTAAAAGTACATTCAAAGTGGGAACCTCATAGTAAACCAGGACAGTAAGAACCGTATTTCATTATTTGAGTTCCCACAGTATCATACTTTTCCTCATTTGCCTTTGGTATAAAATATAGGCTTGTTCTAACTAACTAACTAACTAAACCACTCTCTAATAAAAAAGCTAATTAATAAAACTGCCAGCCGTAGTTAATGATGACTACGTACATTCAAATCAAGAAACCAGATAAAGTCCTGACCAGGCTTGTCTAATGTTATGGCGTTTGAAAGTGTAATATTTCAACCTTGTTCAACATGTGAAAGGAATGAGTCTGGTCTGGCCAAATGCATTGAGAATAGATTCTCAATGCCGGTGCATAACACTGCACCACTGAGGTTCGTCTGCATATCCCCAGAGCCTTAATTTACAATGAAAGAACACGGAGAAAAAACATTTAATCTACTTTTATTTTTGCTAGATTTCACACATTGGTGTCTTAAATACATAAAAACAAAAAGGTTAGGAACAATAAAAGAAAATGTTTTACCAGTGAAGTGAATGAAAGTCATTACCAATGATCGGGAGAGTCTTCCACTCTGCCCAACCATTTGATTTCTGGGCCTCAGTTGAGGTGCACACGCCCACATGTTAAACCATCAGATCCACAGCGACAGCCCCCCAACAAGTATCATGGGCCCTGGAATGACAAAAAAGCATATAAGGTAATTATCAACCTTGCATATAACAAGCAATCATCCACTATTCATAATCTTATAATAGACCATCAACCCCAGACATTCTAGACCAATGTTGAATAATTTAATTTAATTAATTAACATTGTTTCTGTCTAATCTTGGAATGCCTTTTATATTTGACACTTAAAAACAATCTTTTACTTTTGTTAAACATTTGTTAACAAGCACTTCTCTGGCCTAGTAAGGATCCAGTGTTAATATTATAATTTTTTTTATTGGGTTAGTTCCTCACCATGCTAATTAACAAGATGAAAGGTGATGTGAAGAATGTATGAATGAAAATCAGAAAGTGGAGTGCATGGGTTAAATGATGAAGGTAACTTGCCACTGAGAGTTTGAAATCCTCCATAACTCCAGCCCCTACACAGTTTTTGTTTGTCCCATCTTTCCTCTCATCCTCAGTCACCCAGTTAATCAGTGGGGACAGTTGGCGCACGCCGATAACTCTCTGCAAACAGGTTTGGCACTCTGCTTGTAAGTATGACTATGGGATTGTCTGACATGGTTCAATGCAGGCAGACATGTAAGAAAAATAAAATGGATTTCAAAACGTTTTTTATTATCCCTGCAAAGCAACAAAAGCGTATCGTATCAAAAAAAGAAGAAAAAAATGATTCATCCAATCTGTAATCAATCAGGCATTTCTTACAGTTTATGGTCCTTTACTGTTCCTTCAAAATAAGGAAAGACAAAAACAAGTATTTAAGACATCACTTTTTCCATCACTCACTGCTTGGCCAGTGACACAGGATTGGCGATGTTATTCACTGCAGCCAAGGCACCACAGCAAGGTGTCCTTCCATACATGATAATGGATCAGCTGCACTTCTCCTTCAGCAGCATTTAAGTGCTGCTCCATGCCCTACAATCACGAAAACATAACTATACAGAGCTGCCAACATTGTGTTAAAGAAAGAGTAGTCATTCGCCGAGCGAGGAAAAGCAATTTTTTTCCGGCGGGGGTCCCCGACGTCCGCCGAAGCCCCAGAAGCACCCTTATTTCATTTTTACGTTTACCTTATTTTCCTTTTATCTTTTGTATTCAACTGTTTCTATTTTACTGTAAAATTGTATGTATATATAATTCCCTATCCTTTCCTATCACCCTGCTGCTATAACATGTCAATTCCTTACAGGATTAATAAAAAAGTCTATCTTATCTACTTTATCAGACCCAACGT